CTCAACGAATCCAATTATCTACCGGACGCTCCCTCATGCACTGGCCAGGAAGGAGGTGTCTATGTACAGACGTCGACTCAGACACAAAACACGTGCATGCAGCGATTAAAGACTAACACACACTCATGCTATCAATGCATCATTCATGACAAACCCCAACACCTTAACTATACACAAAGACCACCTCTGGTTCTAATCAGTAACTCAAACCGCCTGAGCTCTGGATCTAACCAGTAATCTGCCTTCAGCTGCTGACATCTCCATTTTGTAAGAGATCTTGTCGGGGTCGCTCAACGCCCGTACGAGCAACCGGCAACGTCCCGGCAACGTCCAGCTGAGTCTATCAGCAGCAAACCTCTTGAACCGGGAAATCTTCCATTCAATACACGTCCCCAGCAAACGGCCTTGCTGGGTACGCTGGCCTTCTATCTACTTTTCTCAGTGAAACCGGCCTACCAGCCGTCGTCGGCCTGCTTTTTCATTTTTTCAATGATCCTTCCGCAAAACAGTTTGTATTGCCATGTACAAATCTTTTGTCATGTACAAGCTATATCTAACACAATTACCATGTACAAGCTATATCGAACACAACCAACAACCCGCATACACGCACTCATAAAACAGAATGTACACCACAGCAGCAAAACACCGGAAGCAGTAACGAATTCCACCATGGAGCGACTGTATTCGCACCGCGAGTGCTACTGGCGTTACCGGCCAGACGAGGGTGCAAAACTGACATCGTGATGCAACTTCATTTGAGGCCCTCCCACACTTTATGCCTTTGTGGCGACTGAATACAAGGGTTTTGCACGCGGGGGGGCGGGGGGGGGGATGAATTGATAACCTTACGCGAATATCCGTGAGAACATTTGACCGACCGCCTACATTTTGCTATCGGTCGATCTCCCACACCGCTCTGAGCTCTCCTACAACAACTACCTAGTTCTCGACATTCAGCCCAAACTCTCGCGGCCTGCCAACAATACAGTCTGTAATGTACATACTATCACACACAACCAACGATCCGCGTAAGTGCACGTGTGTGAACATCCTCGCTACATTATACAGCAGCAAAAAGAGCCTTGAGTACCTATATTCGACTAAGTGCCGATCTCCTACTCACAAGGGTAACTACTATATAGTTCCTCTCCACGTTCACCTACAACACCCACTCACCTGAAGGCCTTGCCAATTGCTAGAGACTGGCAAGGCCACATTCACGACGATCTCCTGACGGAACTGGCCTCCCCATCTTGTCCTCTCTCCCTTCCTCGAAAGCGAGTCCCGTGCGGCATTTACCGCCGACGGTGCTCCGTGTCTTGCTATCGCACAACCTCCGCACCTTCACGTCGGCGGCTTCCGAGATGCAATGATCTTCCGTTCCTACTTTCAACACGCTCCTCTTCACTTGCTCCTCTATGCCGCAGTTCCGTTTCTACTTCTCACACGCTCCTTTTCACTTGCTCCTCTATGCCGCAGTTCAGCAGACGAGGCACGGCAGCCGGCTTTCCCCCCCGCTCCCTAATAGCTTTCGGCGCCTTTCGCTTTTCCCTAATCAACCTCCTCGATGGTTGGCCCCCTTCCGGACGTGTCAGCACCTGGCCCCGCTGGGTACTCTCTCTCCCCTCCCGCGTACATCTTCGCAATGATTGGATTGCACGCATTCTCCAACTCCCTCTGCTTGTCCTCGAATTCGTCTACTTCGGCCAGCTGGTTCCTGTCCAGCCACTCCAGCGTCTCATTCACTGCCCTCTCTACCCTCTCCCTTTCATCTGGATCGAGCTTGCTCGCCACGTTGTCCCCCTTCAGCACGTTGTTCCGCACGTTGTACGCGTAGTTCTCGAGCGCGTTCTTCGCCTCCACCTTCTTTCGAGCCTGCTCATCCTCAGTCTTGTACATCTCCGCCTCCTCGACCATTCGCTCGATCTCGGCCTTCGACAATCTTCCTTTGTCGTTCGTAATGGTGATCTTGTTCCGCTTGCCCGTGGTCCGATCCTCCGCACTCACGTTCAGAATTCCATTCGCGTCGATGTCGAAGGTTACATTGATCTGAGGCACGCCACGTGGCGCAGGGGGAATGCCCGTCAACTCGAACTTCCCCAGAAGATTGTTGTCCCGCGTCCGAGCCCTCTCGCCTTCATAGACCTGGATCAAAACCCCTGACTGATTGTCGGCATAGGTAGAGAAGACCTGCTCCTTCTTCGTGGGAACGGTCGTGTTCCTCGGGATGAGCACAGTCATGACGCCGCCGGCAGTTTCCAGGCCGAGGCTGAGAGGCGCGACGTCGAGGAGGAGGAGGTCTTGCACCTTCTCGCTCGTCTCTCCGGTCAAGATCGCAGCCTGCACCGCCGCACCATACGCCACAGCCTCGTCGGGATTGATACTCTTGCACAGATCCTTCCCGTTGAAGAAGTCGGACAGCATCTGCTGAACCTTGGGAATGCGCGTGGAACCTCCTACGAGCACCACCTCCTCCACCTGTTTCTTGTCGATCTTCGCGTCTCTTAGCACCTTCTCCACGGGCTCCAGACACTTGCGGAACAAATCCATGCACATCTCTTCGAGTCGAGCGCGAGTCACCGTGGTATAGAAGTCAACGCCCTCGTACAGCGCCTCCACTTCAATGGTCGTCTGATGCGTCGTCGACAACGCTCGCTTGGCGCGCTCTGCCGCCGTTCGTAAACGCCGCAAAGCCCGAGGGCTGTTGGAAATATCCTTCTTGTACTTGCGTTTGAACTCCTGAACGAGGTGGTTCACAAGACGGTTGTCGAAATCTTCACCGCCTAGATGAGTGTCTCCGGCCGTGGCCTTCACCTCGAAGATGCCTTCATCGATAGTCAACAAGGACACGTCGAAAGTGCCGCCGCCAAGGTCGAAGATCACCACGTCGTGCTCTCCTCCCTTCTGCCCCTTCTTGTCCAATCCGTAGGCGATAGCAGCGGCAGTAGGTTCGTTGATGATTCGCAGAACATTCAGTCCCGAAATTACTCCCGCGTCTTTCGTCGCCTGCCTCTGGGAATCGTTGAAGTATGCGGGCACCGTAATCACCGAATTCGTTATTTCCCGCCCCATGTACGCCTCCGCGAACTCTCTCATCTTGGCCAACACCATGGCGGAGATCTCTTCAGGTGCGAACAGCTTCGTCTCGCCTTTGAACTTCACTTGCACCATGGGTTTGTCACCCGCGCCCGGGACCATCTTGAACGGCCATAGCCGCGTGTCTGCTTGCACCGACGGATCCGAATACTTTCGTCCGATCAAACGCTTCACGTCGAACACCGTGTTCTCCGGATTCAACGCCACTTGATTCTTGGCAGCGTCGCCGACTAACCTTTCGGTGTCAGTAAAGGCGACATACGATGGCGTTGTTCGATTGCCTTGGTCGTTGGGGATGATCTCCACCTTGTCATGCCGCCAAATGCCGACGCAGCTGTACGTAGTTCCCAGGTCGATTCCGATCCCTGGGCCATCGGCTGCTTTGGGCGCCATGAGAACGTACGGTACCCCCTACGCGACAAAAAAACCCAAAGACCGCGCTACTCCCCGCCTCTTCCTCTCCACTTGCAAAGGAGCCCTACCAACACACTTCCCGCCGCTCGTACTCAGACGCCAACCTTTCGACCTCGGTCAAACCGCTTCCACACAATTCGGCTTTGACTTCCGTCGGATGGATGGATTTCGTACACCACGCCGCCAAAATTAACTAGCAGCAGCCGCGTCACCTTGAATTTCCCACGAGAGCCTCGACACAAAACCACGTCGTCACTTTGATGTCTCCACAAATCTATCTACTCCCCGACATCTCCTCTACGCTTGCAAAGGAATACCACCTCCTTCCTTCCCGCCGCACCCACTCGGCCAGCTCTTGCACGTCGGTGAAACAATACCAGGCACCACAGAGTCAACGTCCCTCTAGCTCACATCGTGAAAAGCACACCGCCGCAATCTGCCGATTGAAAGAGTGACCACCCCGACTACATAAGCCGGTAGTGAACTGGTGCGATCCAGATTTACCACGTCCCAAACCCGCTTAACCTTGGTCTCCACAACCAGCTCCTCCACACACACAAACACCCGGTCTCTCCCTTCTCCTATAGAGAACTCACGCGTTCTTACCTGCTCTCCGCTACAATTGCCATAGGCATTGATCCTCACTGCTAGATTATTAAACAGATGTTCTCACAATCTACTCGGTATGGACTCATGAGCCCACCTACCCGTTTTTATACCATCCTGCCCTTGAGGCAAACCGAATCTAACGACTACCAATAGAGACGACCCGCGACAAGACTATCGGACGGTGCTCATCGCGCCCTCAAAGGGGTTACCCATTGCTTGCATCTTCTAGAGGCTTCCCTCCCTTCCCCCCAAAGCGTCGGAGTCTCGTAATCGCGCCCTCGATGGGGTTACTCATTGCTTGCATCTTCCAGACACTTCCTTTTCATAGCCGGTAGGCGGCGGTCAGCTGACGGCTGTCATCGTTGACTGGAGTTGTTGATTTATTTTTTCCTTTCCTCTTGTAGGTGTTGAATTAATTATTGAATTAAACAGTTAAACAGAACTGAAATTTGAGTGTGGCTATGGAGACCCAGACGCTTTGGAGGAAAGGGTTCCACCTTCCTTTTTTTTCTTTTTTTTTCTCTAAAGACTAATTCTTTAAGCCCAACCAACAATTCAATTACCTGTCGAATCTGGACAGGACGGCCTCCAGGTCCCACGGACCACTTTCCACCGAACTCCACATCAGGCTAATCAGGCCAATATAATAAAGACAGAATAAAGGAAAAGAACCCCCACTTACCCGCAACATGCATAACAGTAAGTGTCATTAAAGATCCTCTCCTCTCGAACCTTCCGAATCGCGTACAATAAACAACAAGGTGGTCAAGCCAAAAAAAAAGGGCGATGAGGGGTCAATCAGCGAGGAAAGGAAAACGGATACAGCTCCTTGGAAGTGTGATGGGCCAGAGATTTTCTGTGGCCAAGAAGTCCGTCAAGGTCGTCCGTGGATGTCAACATCGTACAAGCCGAGTGCTGAAGTGGAAGGGGGCGAGGGTTCACCAGCAGCTACACAAATATTGAGGGGAGTCAAGGGACAACTGTGAAGGTATACGCTAGCACTTCCCTAACTGTATAACAGTGACAATTACGGCCAGACCTGAATGAATCTAACCGCACACCCAGAGCTTAGTAGACAAAGTCCGAGTGTGAGTATGCACTGAGAGAGGAAGGGCTTCCTGAACTTTGAAAGGAAAAAAAAGAAAAATAAACAAGAAGATGTGTCCTGGTGAACAAACGCCCATTCGTCAACCCTGCACCCTAAAAGCTAGCCTAAGGGCAAAGGGCCAAACATGCCCTTACCTCTCTCCACCGGGAGAGGTAACCTCCCTTCACCGAAGAGAGGTAGAAAGCTATGGTTGCAGGGGTCCCCTGTATAGCCTTAGGAGTAGTGGTAGGCAGTGAAAGAAAGGTATGTTCCATGCCATGGCAGAATAACAGCTAAAAAAAAAAAAAAAAAAAAAAAACCATTCATTCAGCGGCCTAGCACAATTAGAGGTGCCTGTCACACTCTTGGTGCCAACCAACTGAGATAGTCAACTGGATCCTCCCAGTCGGTATCAGTGAGGTCTTCAGCCGACACGGGTCTTAGTGCGAGTGTGAGTGGGTTGCATGTGGTGTGTAGGACAGTAGGAGAGTGATGGCTTTAGACACTCCTGTTACTTGATGGGGGTGGGAGAAGATGAAAAGGGAGGCACAGTTACTGGCAAAAGCGCGGTCCTTATGTTAGCCGGGACCCCACCGGCTACCCCAACCCTGATGAAAAGGGAAGCACGGTTACTGGCAAATGCTCAGTCCTTATGTTAGCCGGGCCCCCACCAGCGACCCCAACCCTGCACCCTAAGAGGTAGGGCAAAGGAGCAAACATACTGTTACGTCTCTCCACTGAGAGAGGTAACCTCCCTTCACCAACGACAGGTAGAAAGCTATGCTTGCAGGGGTCCCCTGTATAGCCGTAGGAGTAGTGGTCGGTCGGTAGTGAAAGAAAAATTTGAGGTTCCATGACATGGCAGAACGCCTGTTAAAAGGTGAGAGAAAAGTAAATGGCTGTCCCCCAATCAGCAGAAGGCAGCTTGATAAATTTTCAATTAAAAAAAAAGAAAGCCCATTTCGGGTTCGTTACACGCCACCCAATTAGAGAAAAGTGTGCAATCGAACCCAGAAAGCGAGGAAGAGGCGAAAGAGGGGCTGAGTTTAAAGCCTTCTCACCGGAAGTTGACGGCTAAATGGTCAACAGATGATCATCCGACTAGTAATGTCTTCTCTACTCATTTGACTTTTGACTTCAACTTTTTTCTTCGTAACTCAATTTAATGACAACAGCAGCAAGTAATCCTTCCAGAAGACTGACAGAAATGAAGAATCGGTGTTCCATTCATAGACAGAAATGCTGCAACCCTACTGGTCGTAGTCCATCTCGAAAAAAGCTTCCAGTTGGTCAATCAGTCACACATTGACCTGCTCCTTCTCGTTCCCCCCCCAAAGTGTAGGAGGCCCCGAAAGGCTTGAGGAGCGGGGATGATCCGTAACTTTTTCATTCAGCTTTCGAGGGCCTTTCGGACCTTTTCCCACGGTCCGGGGCCAAACAATTGCAAACGTTTTGTCACGGGGGGATCTATAACCTTTCCCCTCCTTTGTCTTTCGAATCATCTTATTTCAAGTTTTTCATTTTTTTCCTTTTATTGGGTTTTTCCCCTCATGAGACCTCAGCATTTCAAGCACCCCTCGAACATAACACACCCCCACCGGACCCTAAAGCTCGCTTGTATACATTCAAAATTTTCAACGATTTTTTTTTCGATAACTACAGCGCTGTCATGTTTTCAGTTCGAAATCCACTTCAGGCATCCCTCGAATACAACACATCCCCACCCTACCCTAAAGTTGGGTTGGATACGTTCATGATTTTCCTCGCTGTGGAGTGAACTTCACGAAATCGTGACTCGAACGCATTTAAGACTGAAAACCATGACTGCGCCTTTGTTTTCCCTTTTTTTCCCTGACAAACACCACTCGTATTCAATATATTCTGGGAAATGGGTCCAACGTCCATTAAATCTTTGACCGTGGTCGTTGGGCTGAGCAAGGCTCTCCTGCCAAGCAAAGCCCTGACTTGAGTATTATAAGCAAATCAACCATCAAAACCTAGAAACAAAACTCAAACTGCTTGTCCAATTTGGTCCAAAATCAGAGTGGAAGTTGTCACTAAGTCTCCGGAGACCATAATCTAATGTAGCATCGGACATCGACTAACCACAAAATGGATCGTGAAATTTCATTCAATGAAAGAAAAGAAAGACGAAGCTACCTCCCTCCCCCCCTCTCTCGGTGTATGTGTGTGTGTGTGTGTGTGTGTGTGTGTGTGTGTGTATGTGTGTGTGTGTNTGTGTACGTGTGTGTGTGTGTGTGTGTGTGTGTGTGTGTGTGTGTGTGTGTGTGTGTGTGTGTGTGTGTGTGTAGGTGTCTCCTAGTATTATAGTGGAAATCCCTTAATTGCTTGACAAGTGCCCCGAAGGTAAGCAAATAACCCTAATTAACAATAGAATTCTACAGTATTTCAAACTCGAACAAGTCTCTCAACAATAAGTACCCAACCCTAAATAACGAATTTAACAAAATAACTACACAATATTCCAAGCTTTATAACATAAGCAATAATCAATACACAAAACTCAAAGAAAAAGAGATGGAAAAATTAGAGAAAGCAGCAAAACACAAAATTTAATACCAATCCTCCCCCCCCCCCCCCCCCCTCCCTCTCTCTCTCTCTCTCTCTCTCCACACGGCGACTCCCCAAATTTGTTGAGAATAAAACCCAGAACAAATACAGTTTCCCTGAATCTCATAAATCATCACCACGGTTATAGGAAGACGTCACCACAAGTTGTAAGAGGAGCCAACAAAGCTTTCAACAGCACAAATTCACCGATAGCAGGGAAGAAACGTAGCCAGTTGACCCGTCATTCCGAATTTTCATCGCAGCGCCCTCATGTCGCAACTCATGTAAATGACAGGAGTCAAGCAGCACGATAAGCATTCTCCTGATGAACAAGGTTCCGTATCTTAAACCAGGGAAAAATCCCTGATTTGTTGCAATTTCTGGTACGTTCAAGTTAATGTGGCGTCCAGATCCCACCCGTTGACCACTCCATATCTGCCTCCATCCGGTCGTGGTCAACATAGGATTGTCTGTTGAAGTCGACTGGGACCAAGTTTTGGAAGGAGCATGGTGGGTACCCCCTCACAGTGATACCCTCTCAACGCCCGTGTGTCCCAATCCCCATCGCCGTCGCCACCCTGTCAACCAGCTCTACCTAAGACTACCTTAGTGCAATCACGTAACCACGTCCTAGTTTTCTCTTATTTTTCATGTTCTGTTTTTTCAATTCATAAATACAATGAGGTGAGATTGCACCATGGACACAAGTGGTTATCGGGTAGCTGAAAATTTAGGAATGAAAATTCTGAAGTGAGATTTTTGGGCAGTCTAAAAATCCTGAACTGTCCAAAAGTGGTGAAATGTCTGAAGACCCTGAAAACCACATGTTTAGGCAGGTTGCATCTTGAAGTGTTGAAGAGTGTCCTGAAGTGGTTTCAAGATACAACCTGCCTAAACAGGTGGTTTTCAAGGTCTTCGGGACTTTCACCACTTCAGGACCATTAAGGATTTTCAGACAACCCAAAACAATCTGAAAATCTTGAATGGTCATAAAGTGGTGAAAGTCCCGAAGACCCTGAAAACCACCTATTCAGGCAGGTTGCATCCTGAAGTGGTGAAGAGTGTCCTGAAGTGGTTTCAAGATGCAACCTGCCTAAACAGGTGGTTTTTAGGGTCTTCGGGACTTTCACCACTTCAGGACCATTCAGGATTTTAAGACTGCCCAAAACAGTCTAAAAATCCTGAATTGTCCTAAAGTGGTGAAAGTCCCAAAGACCCTGAAAACCACCTGTTTAGGCAGGCTGCATCCTGAAGTGGTGAAGAGTATCCTGAAGTGGTTTCAAGCTGCAACCTGCCTAAACAGGTGGTTTTCAGGGTCTTTGGGACTTTCACCACGTCA